CGGGTGTCGCTCGGGGCTCAAAAACTGTGCCCGTGTTTACTACAAGTCAGTCACACGCGCACCTGTTGACCCGCACGCACAGGCAGCACTCAACCCTCATGGTACGCGCGCCCCTCTGCACGTGCCCGCCGCCCACGCCCCGCGCCCCTACGGCTGTTTGTCTTTGCCGCGCCGCGAGAAACACAGACATTACAGTGTCGCGAGAGCCGAGAGGGACTCTAAAATGTTACCCGGATTGTGCAGTGACGAATCGCACCCCATGAGTAGTGGTCATTATGTTTTTGGTTCGATGTTGGTGAATGACAGCTCGTCGACGCCGTACTCGGATGCGACGCAGGTGAGGCTCTTCGCCTTTATTTTGGTCCAGTTCTGTGTTTTTTTTTTTTTTTTTTTTCCTGCTTCATTTTCTATTGGTCCAATTCTGTTTTTTTCATTTTTTTCCTGCTTTATTTTCTATTGGTCCAATTCTGTTTTTTTTTCTTTTTTTTCCTGCTTTATTTTCTATTGGTCCAATTCAGTTTTTTTCGTATTTTTTTTCCTGCTTTATTTTCTATTGGTCCAATTCTGTTTTTTTTTCTTTTTTTTCCTGCTTTATTTTCTATTGGTCCAATTCTGTTTTTTTTCATTTTTCCTGCTTTATTTTCAAATTCTGTTTCATTTTTTCCTGCTTTAATTTCCATTCTGTTTTTTTTTTTTTTTTTTTCATGCTTTATTTTCTATTGGTCCAATTCAGTTTTTTTCGTATTTTTTTCATTTTTCCTGCTTTATTTTCAAGCAGATTATTTCAGTCATTATCAGTAATTGATTGCTTATTGTTCTTATTAATGGATTATGTATTTATCACTTTTAGTATTTATTCTTTATTTTCAAGCGGATCATTTACTTCATTCATTATCAGTAATTGGCTAGGAAAGTAGCCTTGTTAAGAATAATTGTATATATATTTTATTATTATTATTTTTACCTTTCTCTTTTATGTTTCCCGTTTTTTGTACATACAGTGTTAGGAGGAAAAATAAAATATTGTAGGAATAAAGCCCTATCAGTAGGTTATTCTTAGTGCAAAAACATGATTTTCTAATATTGGTAGAAATTCTGACAGACGAAAACAGAACTTTGGCAATAACTAATGTAAGTGAAATTAGTATAAGCAATCGTAAGACATTATAAAGGCCAATTTCATAAGGGAGAACGTAAAGACGATATGTTTGTAAAATTTATTATATAAGTGATTATGAAATTAGTTTCATAACCGAAAACCGTTTATCATAAAAGTACATTTTACTGCTGCTTTCGGAACTGCTCGTCTACCTCGTCCAGACAACTAGTCCAGGACCAACAGGACGAGATGCACCGCGTCCGGAACCTCCTAGACCCTTTCTGCCCAGAATGCAACCTGCTCGAATTAAACATTCACTTTTTTATCATACCGGTGTCTTTATTTTCCACGCTGCATAGGTTTTGTAACTCCTTTGATGCACATTTCACTTACCTGCCACTGACAAACGCAAAAATATCCTTAGATAACACCAATTAAGGGTCATAAAATTACCCACCAATATCTTGTGGTTACATGCAACTACCAATGTTTACATACAAAATTATTGTGACGTCATCTGGTCCTGCTCGGCCACCTTCGCAGGAGGGCGAGTTGGACGAGCGAGACTACTTGTCCGGGACGAGATAGAGAAGGTTCCGAACGGTCAAAACATCTCGTCCAAATGGTCTGGACGAGACAGACGAGCAGTTCCGAACGTACCATAAAAAACAGTCCATATGCAATGTTAATAATTTTCGAGAAAAAATTTGTAATGGCCACTAAAAAGTAATTTTGAATCGCAATTCGAGTATATCAACAGGTTGACTGATGACTTAGAGGAAATTTTTTGTAATGAATATGTATTTAAGTTTTTTTTTTTTCCATATCTTTGTACAGTGTTGTTTAACTTTCTTAAAAGTGGATATCCTGAGGGAGAAAAAACAACAACAAAACAGACAGAATAAAGGAAGCATAAATACACAGAAATAAAGAGAGGGAGTGAAATTGTCACAAACGAAGGCGTGAAGAGTAAATAACAGACACAGAAGAAGGGAAAACTAAACTGCCATGAATGCTAAAGTTCATAATAATTGTATATGTGATATCTATATCTATTTCTATCTATCTTTATACATACACACACACAGATACGTGTGTATATTATATATATATATATATATATATATATTATATATATATATATATATATATATATATATATATATATATATATATTCATTTATTATTTATTTATTTTTACACACATACATATATGCATACGTACATACACATACATACACATACCATATATACATACATACATACATACATATATATATATATATATATATATATATATATATATATATATATATATATATATATATATATATATATATATATATATATATATATATAGTGTGTGTGTGTGTGTGTGTGTGTGTGTGTGTGTGTGTGTATGTATGCACACAAAACACACACACACGTATATGTTTATATTATTTTTCAAAAATATATAATGTCCTTGTTTTCCTTCTCAGTTGAAGAAAATTGATGAAAATAAAATTTATTCATTTATTTATTATTATCATTTCAATATATTGCGGTAAATATGTTTTTAAATAAGAGATTTAGATGATGTGAGATGGAAAGAAGACAAGAAAGAAATATGGATATATATATATATATATATATATATATATATATATATATATATATATATATATATATATATATATATATATATATATATATATATATATATATATATATATATATATATATATATAATATATATATATATATATATATATATATATATATATATATTTATTTATTTATATTTATTTATTTAAATGTCTTACGGTTTATGGATCCTAATGGTATTATTGTTTATATCGGACCATTTATGTCGCAAGCAACATAGTTTTCTTGCATGCAATGATATGCTTAACTACTTGTTTATATATATATATATATATATATATATATATATATATATATATATATATATATATATATATTGGAAATTAGTGTAGTAGTCAAAACTCGGATGATATAAGACTTGATAGAGTAAAAAAAAAAAAAAAAAAAAAAAAAAAAAATCTTCCAATGACAATATTTAGCTACTCCTTTCTACCATTTGTCTAGATAATTAGTGGATAGTTAATATAGTTAGTCATAGTATTTTTTATTTATTATTATTATTTTTTTTTTTTTTTGAGAGGTAATGTGCTATTTATCATTCACATTATTCCCAAATGCGTTTTGAGTCGCACGAATAACTGCCAGGAATGTTACCTTCTGCTTCATATCATAACACATGCAAAAAATAGGTATTATGCAATGCTGGTTATGGTTTACCTGAGGATTAAGACCGCGCTTAAGCCTTCCGGTTATCATGCCATTAAAATAACTTCTCTAAGTGACATTCCATTTTACTCAAGCAGTTACTTAAGCCGTTCAGTAGTATCATCCATGCAGCCCGAAGCACACTCTCTGTCAGGTAACGTCAAATTTTCCCAAAGCTCCCTTAGTAACCCCCCCCCCCTCCGCCCCCAGACCAAGAAGCACCCGCCCAACCACGTGAAGCGCCCCATGAACGCCTTCATGGTGTGGTCGCAGCTGGAGCGCCGCCGCATCGTGTCCCAGACGCCCGACATGCACAACGCCGAGATCTCGAAGCAGCTGGGGCGCCGCTGGAAGCTTCTGACGGAGGAGCAGCGGCGCCCCTACCGCGACGAGGCGCAGCGCCTGAAGGTGCTGCACCGCCTCGAGTACCCGGACTACAAGTACCGCCCGAGGAAGAAGAACGCGAAGGGCTGCGCGCCGCCCCTGGCGTCCCTGCCCGGAGGCGCCGGGGACGTCCTTCGAGGCGTGGCTCTCGGCGGCGGCGGGAGGGTGTCCAAGGGCCGGTCGCCCCTCGTCGGGGGGACGCACTCGCCGCCCGCCAACGCCGCCACCGTCATCAAGATGCGCGAGTGCCTCCGGGCGGCGAACCTCAAGCACCTGGCCAGCAAGGCCGCCGTGCCCCCCTCGGCCGCCCCGCAGCAGCAGAAGCCGCAGCCGATGTCGCCGAGCGCCCGCCTGCCCACGAGCCCTTCGCACGACCTCCCCGACTCGCCCGAAGGAGCTGCGACCTTCAAGAACCGCGCCCTCCGCTCCGCCGACCACGCCGTGAAGGAGGAGCGGCGCGGCGACCCCATGTACTGCAGCGGCGGCGCGCCCGAGGCAGGCTTCGGCTGGCCCAGCGACCTCCTGTTGGCGTCCTCGCCCTCCGCGCCCCCGGTGGAAGCCGCGCCCCTCGCCGAGGACCCGCCCACGCTCGCCGACCTGGACAACATCGGCGTGAAGGACCTGGTGCCGCTGTCGCCGGGCCTGGCGCTCGACCTGCACGCGCTCGGCTCCGACATCGAGCTCTGGCCGGCGCACGAGGCGGGGCGGGACCCTAGCGCCCCGAGGGACCTGGCGACGCCCCCGACGCCCTACCACAGCGGCCTGCAGGACCCCTGGACGCAGGCGCTGTGGGAGGACGACGTCGAGTCCTTCGTGGAGGAACTGCAGATCAAGTACCAGCCGCTGCAGCTCGAGGCCAGTCCGCCCACGGCGAGCCAGGCGGGGGCGGCGTCCGCGTGGCTCCGGCCCGCCCTCGAGGTGTCCTACTCGCTGGGCGACCCCTCGAGATGAGCGGGGGGCGCCGGCGTCCTGCGCGACCTCGCCCCCTTCGTCACGGCGAGCTGGTCTCCGCCTCTTTGCTTTCTCTCTCCTCAAGCCTCTCTGCGCCCCTCCTGGACCGCAAGTCTCCGAACGCGGCGGGTTTTGTGTCTCTCCCCGGGGACAGCGCCGCGCGGAGGGTGACAGCGCCTCCGGCAAGAAATGATCTCAAATCACGGCCAGACACACTTCCCAGCTCCCCTTTCCTCCTATTTTTTCAACCTCTCTTTCTTCTTTTTTCGTCGTC